TTTTTTCTGTTTGCGGTAGGCGTCTGTTATGATTCACCGGAACAGTAAAGATAAGGAAGTGAATGTGAGCAGCAAGAAGATAGGAATGGAATCAAATGGCCATAAAGAGCTCCCCGGTACCATAGTGTTAATAATAACAATATATATATTATGTATATATATATATGTATAATATGAATAATATTAGTACCATAAATCGAGCTTTATGTCCGGCACCACCGTTCCACATTCCATAAAATGACTGGCCCCCAGCACGAAACAAAGTGCGTTTATGTCTGTGTTCCTACTCAAACTATTACGTGCCCCAAAGATTAGCAGCTCTTAAGGTTAGGTCAATGCTATAATCTTTCTATGTCATATTTTGGAAATAACAATCTGATCGTGAGAAAGGGTACAGAGTCGATACTAATAAATTTTTAATGGAATTGTAATTAGATAAGTGTTATAGCTAATAAATAAAAATACGGCAAACCGATATCCGAATCCATTCATTACTACTACGAATATGTAAATGACGTTAAGATTAATACGTGTTTTTGTGATCACGTTTTTTTGGATCACGTTATTATTGACAACATGTACAGTTTAGGCCGTTTCAATTAATGTTTAATTTAAAGCAGTGAACATTAAACCCGAAACGTTTTTTACGCATTTCGTTCTTACTTGATTTCTACTTAATTTGATTGACAGCGAAGGGATAATGTTAAGAGGATGTCGACTAAATTTGAACGCAAAAATAGACAATGATTACGGAAATGATGACTGCACTTATTACTTCAAAGGTAACTTATTATACACTAGGCTTATATATATATATACTAAACAGTAGTCAAATTCTACATTAATTCATAAATTATCAATTGTATACAAAGAAAGGCTTAAATTAAAATATGGCGGTACAAGCGGCGATAATAAACGGTGCAATTAACGTACCGTATGTGTTGTAGTTTTTACAAAATGTAGACTGAGGTACAGACAAGAGCGATTTCTGAAGGGTACAAAGGCGTTTCTCTATGGGCAGCTTTCTAGTTTCCTATAGTATCGGTTACATGCGCAATATTAGTCACCATGACTTGTTGATTGGTGGCAGCACCAAAGACAAGGAATGATTCTTCAAGATCCGTTTAGATGTCTTCACAAAACAAGAAAATAATGTACGACACATATCAACTTGAAAACTGTCCCTTTGTTCTCATTATCCCTTGTGAAATTCTTTGAATTTACTCCTGTTACAGCACTATTTATTGACGGCCCGGAAGTTGACAAAAACTTTATGAGAGATTTGGTAAATCCCATGAGGTTGACGACTATCGTCAAATTCGATCGGTAAAAAGTAAGTTAATTTCACTAAAGAGAGTCGTCTCAAATATGGTCACTGGGCATAACAAACGTTTCTGCCAGCTCCAGTTTGTGTCGCTATCCTGTGAAGGAGAGTCAGCTGTGATAATTGTTTGTGATATAACAAAGCACACGTCGTATGATAAAGCTGCAGGACGTCTAAACGAATCCGCGATTGTACACATCAGTATACTATAGTGATGCTTATTGGCTGCAGGCAATTGTATATGGCCTTTAAGGAACAAAGAATCGAGTGCAGAAGACCATTGGCAGAGGTTTATAATTGCCTAAGGTCAACCGTAGCGAAGTGAAGGCTAAGAATTATGATTGTTTATGAGTTCCCGACATCTCTACCGATCTACGCAAGCCAACAACTCTACGTTGATTTTAAGCAGGATCATGAACGCAGTGGCCTGTAGCATATTTCTACGAATATGTGTTCTTGTAGTTGTATAGCATACTCTAATGAGTAATTTATATGTGCTTATCCTAGCACTTGAACAACTTAATCCAATAGCATGAGTAGTGCCTCGCTCGAATGTGATGTACCTGATCTCTTCGTTGAATCCATTGACTTTGTAAGCGCTAATAATAAAGTGCTTTCTAATACTTTTTACTTATGTTCATGGGGCAGGACTATGTAACAGAAGCAGCTGAAAAGTTTACGAAGCTTAGCAACTTTAATTTCATGGAGATCCCGGCCTCCGATTATAGCAGCATAAATGAGTCCATTGTACAATTGTTGGCGAGGTGCTTTCGTTTTTCAGTTCTATATTTACCTATGACTGTCTTGTAGATATTCAGCTCGCGTTATCTGTAGCGCGATTTTACAATCTAGTATTAATTAGACGAACGGGGAACGTAAGCAGCTTTGATATATTACTAGAGAGGTCTGGAGTACTACTACTGAAGCTGATCCGAAACTCATCGACAAAAAGGGTTATTAGAAGCTTTCCCATGCTACCCGCGGTTAAAGAACTCGGGGTATAATTGGAGTATAACATTTAGTTTGCGCAAAGCCGGCTGCCCTTCCTGGGCAAAACACTGAAATGCTTTGCACCAAATCGATTAACGAGCAGGGACGCATTGCGTATATATCCATCCATGAACGCTAATTCATTCTATTAAAGGCGCGTGACCTCTCAACAATGGCTAACAGTGGTTTGAATGCACGAGCTAAAAAAGACCGTTGACTATTAGAAACAATGCGACCATATGTTCGTTACACAATGCCAATATATTTCGCTCCCTGTCTTATTCTGTTCTGCTCCTGTGCTTATTACTCGAAAGGAGGAAGATTTTTCCCAGTTCTGTAGTTAACCTGCTATTTTTGACGTTAGCCCCTTTGTGCGCTGGTCTAAAGTGTTAAAGACGCGGATAGGAAATTATTAAAGCTGTCAAGATGGTGCGCTCTTTAAAAAAAGAATTACTTCAATCACTTTGGCGTCAAACTTGCGGTACGACGTATTACTGGGAGGTAGAAGTGAACCAGTGCGGGAACAGATCGAGCAGTCTGAAGCTTATCAAACATTTGTCTATTGTCTAGGCATTGGCAAAATTAAGCAACAAGAATATGGAAGAGGAAGAGTGAAACAAATGTCTCCGCCCTATCGGTTTTACACCTCAAATTCTAGGTTTAAGGTTTTTATTTCCATTAACAATATATTGTTAGTCTGTGGCATAAAGGAGTTAGTCAGCGACATCTGAATTAAATAAAATCAAATAAAATGACCAACAAATAAAAACACGATGGACCAACACCTATATCCATTCAATATAATTCGAAATTTGTACGAAATTCGAATTTTACTACGTAGCTTATTTTTATTGCAACTCTATTAAACACGAGGTGACTGTTCCTAGAAAGTATCAAGCAACTTCACCCGCAGAAATACGTGGCATGGTCGTGAAGATGATGACTGCAACCACCCTTCTAAAAGTAACTTAATATATACACTAAGCTTAATTATACATTTGATTTTCAACTACAATTAAATTGAAGCGCAGTGAAATCCTAAAGAACCATGTACTATAATATACAGGGGAGAAATTGAATCAGAATACGTTCCTTTAAATGGCGCACATGTGCGCTTGGGTTGACATTAAATGTGTATGGCAGTATTTACAGAGCGCAAGCTAAGCGATGGATCCTAGGGACTGACAGAATGACTTTTTAGGGGAAAGAAGTTTCACTAACGGGCAGCCCTATAGCTTCCGGATACGCATAATACTAGTAGAACAGCTTCTAAATATAACATAGGCCACCATGTTTCGTATAGGACTGGCATAGGCTTATACCTTTTTAAGATCGATTGTAGTGAGGCAAGAGCCCAAAAATATAAACATCTATAAGATTCACGGGAAGCATAGACAGCGTCGGGGCTAGCTAACTGAGAGGTGTGGAGGGACTAGTATCTGTGTTCTACTTTCACTCACCATCTCGCATCATTTGTTTCCTTTTGCCCGTGGGCACCCTGATCTGTTTCAACGTACTTCTACGTCCATCTGGTTATGACTGTTGCCCAGTGGCACCTTCAGTAATAATAACAATAATAAAAACAGCTCGTCGATAGAAATTTCTCTCGTTATAGTTCTCACTTAACTATACGTTTTCTTTTTAGATCTTTTACGTATCGCTTTCTTGTTCCTTATTAGCCTGTGCTGCTAAGTCGGTACACTCGTGACTCGTGGGCGTCTTGGATTTAGCGCCTTCGTGCACTCAACTTCGCTGAATGCTTGACTGGATCCACCCTTCCTCTGGTCACTTCACTGAGACTATCTTCTGATGCTGACGCGATTTTACTGGCCGTATTTCTAGGTTTTGTGGAGTCTAGCCTACAGACGCTGCCCTTGACGGGCTAAGGATTGCGCTGGAATTGACATGGTGCCACCACTTGATGCTGTAACTCGAAGTTGAACAAATAGTTTTATTATTATTATGTTTTGGCTAATTGCTACTTGGAAATTAAAATGATAACTATATAAGCAGAACAATTACAAAGAACGCTGTGATTGATTGTCATTTTTACTTGCTGGATTAGTACTGAAAACAGGCGTAATGTGGACATCATCATAATCAGATAATGGTAACGGTCAGAAGTCTAACTTCAATAAAATCGCGGCTTAATAAATAAATAAAAAGGCGGGGAGTAAGGTCCACATAGTAGAAGTTCTACTTAGATATCGTTTTTTCAGTAGTTGCCTGATTTCGGTAATGCAGGTTCTAATTAATCGTAGCTCACCAAAGCCGTTGGGAACACTCCCAAGAAGTACTCGAAATCTCCGACATTTCCACACGAACCGTTTCGTCGAATAAAAATAACGGAACGTTGCATTTGCACGATGCGGAAACTTCAGCAGAGAACGTCCATCGCAGTAATTTGTTTTTACTGTTTACTAAAACTTTTTTCGCTGCATACCAATCTCACATTTTTAGTGTATTTACCGCATCGTGGTATAGTAAGTTTTTTTTTAATTTTTTAAATTAACAAACATCATTACCGTCTCTCTCGGTCTCTAATGATGCATTAATGTAAGACATTAATGCAGGTTTTCATGTAAATTGAACAATGTGCTTTGACAAGTATTTTAATTTCGAAAAACAGGTATTTTATTTATAGAAAGAGAGAAGTGAAATGTCTCAACAACAGTAAACGGTTTATTGCAACGATACATGTAACTGTGTCTGATAACCCCAATTTCATCCAATATTAGCTTAATAATCGTAAGATATTAGATGGAAAGGGAAAAACGGGGGACGTCTATTTTTCTGTATACATACGTTTCTCCTTGTAGAAAATTCATACAAAAGAAAAGCGATTGTAACTACCTATGTGAAATCTAGCACAGTGTCTTTATCCACATCAAGACAGGACAAATTCTTTATAGCATTCGGGTCCTCGGAGGCCAGCGAAGTGAAGTACACTTTTGCCTGAAGAACATTCTTAAAATTCAACATCAAGGATCATTTGCTGGTTGTCGTTTCGTTTCAACAATAAAAAATGTAAGGAAATATTTGAAACCACGGTTAAACACGTGTAGAGCACTAAAGCAACTTCGCTTTGATCTTATTAGGCAGACTTTAGCCCTTGATATTTCTAGACTCCACGAAAAGAAATGTTGAAAAGAATTCGTTGCCAGGTGCAGCCCTTATTAACAGTGAAGATGATGCGGGTCATTTAATGACTCACTCTCGTAGTCTTTTGGCGTCATTTTGGCTTTTCAGTGCCTCTTTGGCTTTTCGGTGATTTTTTTGTGTCTTAATGTGCTATTTTTATTTCTTTGGTGTCTTTGTTTTTTTTTTGTTGTTTTTTGGGTATCTTTTTGGTCTTTTGGTCCCTTAAGGCCTTTCTAGTTTTCTAGTGTCGCATATGCAACCGAAATTCACGTTTGAACATATCTGTTTCTATATTGTACTTAGTTAATAGCGATTCATTCACAAGCAGTTTCAGCAAAGATTGTGTCCAAATCTTTTATACATCATTTAACCTGAAAATTACCATTTTTTGGAGATATCTTGCAACTTCTTTTTATTTTGTTAGCCTACTCGCTGCAGCGGTACCAATCTCTGTGTATCATTAAATGAGTTTAGCAAAGAGAACACGGATCTTACCGGACCGTAGAACACAGTACTAAGATAATCTGAATTTACTGTGCGACCAAACTGCTTAAAAGATTGCTATCAAATGGCAAACTACGACTTGCCCTTACAGGTTTATACTAAGTAGCAAAAAATTATAAGTGTAATCCTATCTTGAAAATTATTCCTTATAGCTAAATAAGAGTACGTCCTTGCAAGCAGCTTCATATGTAAATGTTAACTATTTCAATATGACATTTCCCACTTTCAATAGAAACGCTTCATATTACAATTCTATAATCCGACAAATATCATGTCATTTATGTATGATTGAATAAACAAATATGAACACGCCCGCTGGAATTGGGTTGATTATTTTTTTAACACTAGTCGATTAGATAGCACCCCACGTATTATCCTGAACCGCAACTTCACTGCTTTTTTTTGTAACAACACTATTCTAGTACTATTATTAACTTCAGAGTCACCGGGATGGCAAATAGTAAATCATGTACTTCGGAGCATTACCTCAAATGACGTTTTAGCACGAAGCTGGAACCAAAAATGGATGAAAACCTATCATCACATTATTTTGATCTTATAGAAAAAAAAATGCTAGGGAAAATCACTCCTTTGTAAATTACCAACTAAAACTAAAGTTTAGATCGATTTGAACAAACTTCACTTATCTATATTTCGAAAACTAGGCGTTCATGACAGTAAAGTTATTATCTTAGAACCACTAGGATATTAACTAAGCAAAAACAATAGTGTTTAGGTTGGAAGGCCTTCTTCGTGAGTAGACCGTTGGCTCTTTCTTTCTTGCATTTTTAATTCTTGCTTCTTCAACATACAAACTTAAACTCTCTATAATCAACATCTAAATCCTATAAGGAGCATGTCTTTAACGTGAATACGTTCTTTTGGACGAAGCTCAGAAGACACAAAGGAAAAGCTGTGAGCTTAATACAACCCCATCCAGAACAAATCGTTAAAAGATTTGCTGATCGGAGGTAAAGATCCAAACAGAATTTCAGAAAAACTATGAACTAATGCCAAAACTGGCCTAAAAGTACGGATTCTTATAAAGTGAACTTATACGGTAGGCCCAACAATTTACTAGACTTAAAAACAGAAATTTCACTAATAAGCGCGTTTTTCAAACGAATGAATTTAATAACGGTAAACAATTATTGGTGGCAATGAGAAAGATAAGGTATACAGAAGCTGACTATTGAACTTTGAGTCATATGCAATTAGCGTAAAAATGCTTTTACTCGGAATTTAACCGGAAATTAAAAAAAAAAAAAAAAAGTGTAAAATGAACGTGATAATGGAACTAAAAAGAAGCAGTGGTTACAAGTATCGTGTGATGATGATAGGAGTAATCGACAGCCTGCAGTGATTGCGGTAACTCATTACGTTATCTTCTATGTGAACCTGAGCTTCTAATTTCGAGTTAATTCACTAACGCTTCTGAGTAATAGATTTTCTGTCTATAATCAGCAAGCAAGCAAGCAAGCTCTGCCCGAGTCAGTCCGCCTGCAAAAGTAGCAAATATTACTAGCGCACCACATCCCAAAGCATCCATCGTTGAAATACTTGAGCAATAGACGATCATCAAACAATAATAATCACAGCTGAATTGAATGACTGAGACTATCTTCCTTGGCACCGACATCCGGCGTTCGGTCGTGGCATCATCATCATCTTCGTGTTGTTATTAGCGGTACTCCACGTGCGTAAGTGACAAACGTCGAACAAAGACGATTCTTCACGACCGACCGAACGTAAATGTGTACTATTGGACAGCTGTAACGGTGGCGCTTCTTTCATTACTATTAACATTTGTTCATAGTCGCGCCTATCCTATCTCTAGTCCGCCGAAGTAGCTACAGCAGCCCAAAAAAAAGATATATTCGATGCCCGATCGACGTACACCCCCTTTCTGTTTCCATAAATCCTGTTCTTTTTCGTCTAACTGTGAATTTGTGCGTGGCAGTTGTAATATTAAGGGCAGTAGCAGTCAATGTTGTTGTAGTGGAAACGGCGTCACACAGCGGGGTATCCATAACCACCATCTGCCCCCCCGACTGCTGTAGTTAACTGGTAGTCGAGTGGAGCGTCTACTGAAAGTGTAGTCTTTAGCTGCTGAAACAAAGCTGGCGGCAATAACAACAACAACAGCAACGGCAAATATAGCAGTTCTCAAGACCAACACGCCAGCGGCATGACGAGCTACCGCTGTTATTCGTTGACATGCCCTAGCCGTTGAATTGCTGCCGTTGACGCCGTCAGCACAGGCGCCGGATCAGAGTGAATGGCCACTCTCCAACGTCGCAGTCGCAACGCGCGTCATAGTCGTCTAGAACAGCCGTCAATACTTCGTTCTGCTATAGGAGCAGAACTCAAACGGCTGCTACGGTCGCTGCGGCGTTAGGGGCCGCGGACACTAAACTGATGCCCGGCGTTTCTTCCGTTGGCGCGGCTGTTCAAGCTGTTGCCGCCAATAGTGAGGAGTTTTTAGAGGCAGGTGAACGTATACACTGGCGGGTAGGCCTTTTCAGCTTTTCGAGCAGCAATAATCACGACTTGACGTGACATTGCACTCTGCTATTACTATTCCCATCGACCACCACCATTTGCAGGACTGCTATCGGCGGCAGCTCGACGCCACAGACAGAGTGGCCGACCAGAGCAAGACGGAGTGAATGACGCGAAAGCTGAACCACACCTTAGAAAGCCGTAGCTGATGTATGGGCTTTCCCGCCATTGTACATCCGTTGGATTGTGTGCCGTATTTGTGCATTGAAGTGACGACGCATTAAGACTACCTGCTTACGAACACTCCCGTGCAGTAGCCAACTTCTCGAGCCGTTACGATTCGGGTGTTTGGCTATGTTTCTATGTGCGGTATGCATGTGTCTCTGGCAGACCTGCTTAAAAATTGTTTCCGTGTTCTCCACTCGGTCCTCACGTCTAACTTCAGAAGGCTAACTTTTTTTCAGAACGAAAAGGAATCTGTCTGTGCCTGAATTTGAACACAAAACAATACATTTCGTTATACTTATCAGGTAGACCGGCTACCCGCTGGGCTACCACCAGAACACAGCGCACTAACGTACGGCACTCACCAACCTGGAAATGGTTTCACAACAAAATGCTGTTGGGTGACATGCTAATTGCGTCCTGTGAGGTGAGTGAGACATGAAACAGATTTCATTTTCGTTTGGAATAGCGAGAAAAGAGAAGCGCAGGGAGAGACGGAGAGAGATGTTCGTAGAGCCGCCTCTCATGGGTGTCTGTGGCAATAGGACCATTGAACGCCAGCGGCGTCGCTTCTCGAATATGGTTGTTGAGTATAGCATGACGCCACAACATCAGCAGTGGTATTTGTGGAGTTGACTTACTGGAGCAGTAATGGCCAACCGTCATCATCAGTAGCGCCGCAAAATCGAGAAAGATGACGGCAAAAGCCAGCTTCTGTCGGGAAGCCGTTCTCGAATGGCTTAGCACTTAGGCCCGTGTGAACACACGGCCTCTGCTGGCGCTAACGTAGCGGTAGGAAAAACAGGCAGCAGACTGCACTGGGATCCACATTGTCACCGGAATGTTCTGCGAGCGATGACAACATTATACAGGCAGTACAATTACTATGTCATCGGTACATATTTCATCCTGCTTCCACTAATTCGTCCGTCTGTCTGTCTGTCTGTCCAATTGTTCAGTAGCAGCCCGTCATTCGACGATTCAAACTACAGTTTGTGCTTTTTTTTTTGAGTGAAGTAGAGTGACTGAGTGCGAAGTGAAGGGGGCATACCGGATGTGTGGTGTGGAGCTCATTAAGGATGTAGTCCGACTATATATTATGTAAGCCGTATCTTGTCGTTGTTGCTGGCATAGCTACAGTGTGCGAACGCTTCTAAGTAATACTCGGTGATTGCCGTCACAAGATATTCTGATAGCTAGCTCATACAATATGTATCGAGCCAATTCTTGGCGGACCGATGGACGCGTCCATTACGATAGAATCGAGCGTAAGTTATTTGTTTTTCCTTCTTAGCAAGCGTAACTGTGCAGAACGGACAAGTTCGAAAATAGTGTGTTTTCAATACAGCGTATCTAGCACGCACGTACTGGCTAACTTAGTGGACAAGCGAAATTGTTAGGAGTTATACATGCGCCGCCGAATACTAGTCGTAACAGGGTAACTTACATTTAAGAGCCAATCAGCACAAAAACTAGTCCCGCTTAACTAGCAGCGTAACAAGAACGATACGTTGAATAATAAAATTATTTTTATTTATTTCCTGCATCGCGGTAGTATTTCTGTTTGGCCAAGCGCGTGTTGGTATCACATCATTAATCGATAGCTGGATGCCGGAACGGAAGCGGACGCTCGTCTTAGACGACTGCCTGAAGCGCGTCGTTCTGCATGAAATTCGTGAGGAGATTGATCTCATTAGGCGTCTTCGTATGTGAGTTCATCACGAGCATGTACTTGCATAGATCGGTTGAGATCTCTAATGGACAGTAAAAGACGATTTAACAGTCCCGGCTCTAATTATTAATGTACAAGATATGCTCCATTTTTATCGCTAGGATATGAACAGGAAGACGTTCTCGATGACTAAACACCAAGAAGAGGAAATGAATGGGGATGAATTTTAGATTGAGCATTGAAGCTGCCGACAAAAGGTATCAGTCGTCCACCCCGCTGGCCCATTCTTCTATCACTTGGAATTAGTCGCCCGTTTAATTGGGCGAATGGTATTGGCCGACTTTCTCAGTTTCTATTCAGATAGCAAACGAAGCTTTTATTTTCCTACGTTCTCTCTCTCGCCGATATTGTGTCATAAATAGAAAACGGTGTGGCGTATGGGTCGCAACCTGCCATGATGTCTTTCTAACAGCTTTCACTTCTATTTTGCAGTTCGCACACACGGCCTCACGGAGCTTTGTTTTTGTTTAACGTATGCGACAGGGATTCCTTCCTCTATATGATTGCCCTTTTGCAGAAGCTGAAGCCGGTCTTCAATAGTAATACGATCAGATACCTTGTCGGAACGCAACGGGACCAACGAAGCGGGTGAGTCGATCACTGATCAGATTTTTTCTGTGTTAAAAGTAGATCGCAGTGTTAATTTTAAACACTGCACATGCTGAACCTGACCCGCATCACTTTGGCTTAATGTATTTTAATTGGCAGATTTGCTACCTGCTTACGAGTGTCGCCCTTTTGATACCGGTCAAATACAAACCTCACGAGCGAACCGATGGCGTATTGCCGTTCGTTCTTCTGTTTCGGATTTGAAAAGGGCAAAATATATCCAAGCTACATTTGGCATATCTGTGTAGTTTGCCTAATGCGGAATATGCCATACGTTTCTTCATGTATTAGATTCAACGAAATGAAATTTCCGATGAACTTTTTCGTGGAACATTAACATAATCTTTGCCTTTGTATATATAGCTAACTTCGGCGTTTGATCAGGAACAGCCAGTGAACAAGATCCTATATGTCAACAGTGCTTAGATATTATTAGCTGATCAGTAAGTATCTGGCTAACGTGCAACACGTTTTAATTTCCATTGAAAGCTATCAGATTTGATGAAACGTATGGCTTACTCATATGAGTATCGCTTGGGCGAATACGTCCATAGTGATGCTATCAATCGCCTAGACAATTGCGTCTGTGACAATGAACTGATTGTCGCTAGTGTATGAGCCATGTGCGATCTGCAGGATATTGATTAAACTAACACCTTACGATGTCGTGCTAATGGTTGTCCTGTGCAATTTTTTCGTGTCTATACGTAAAGTTGAGCCTTCTTCGTGGGTAATTCGAGTGACTTTCGTCATATAAACTAGTGTCTAGGTACATCTAGGCTCATACTGATCGCTCGCTGATTATATCCACACATTGTCGAGAAGTTGCTTTTTATACCTGTATCATTGCCTCCTTTTTTGTCCTGCATCAAAATTCTGACAGTTTGTTAGAAAACAATATAAGAAAGTATTCATAGTAAAAAATTGATTACTTATTACACATAAAATCCTAATCGATTCAGTGGACTGTATACAGTGCAATGAAGAACACTAAATGAAATGGGTAAACATCGTTAATCAATTTACCGCTGTGTTTTTGCCTTTTCAGAAATGTAGACGAGCCTAATGAGACGAATATTGAAGAAGCCGTCACGCTAGCAGTGAAAAACCTCATGAGGTATCGTGAGACATCTGCTACAACCAGTGAAGGTGTACAGGGTGCTTTCATGTCAGTCATTTATGGTAAGTATCTAAAGACAGTCAAAAATGGCTTCAACTCAAAATCATACTATACGATATGAATCGATTCGACCTGAGATTACATGTGGCATCAAGCGACCTCCTTTTCAACATTTTTTACCTCTCATAAACGGTATGTATGTGACCTGATGTATTTATTCATTGCAGATGTTCACCGCCTAGGATTACGCTTGGAAGATCAAAGTTTAATTAGAAACTTGGGAAGCTTTGTATCCCTTCCACGCATGAAAGAGGACATCCTTATAAACTTTAGCCGAAAGTTATCACTTGACAGTGATAGTTCAGAGTATGCCAGTGAATTAAGCTGTGCAGAATGCGATATTAACGATTTCGTCAATAGTCCTGATGTTGGCTTAGACGAGAGTGCCATGGACGAGGCCGCCGTAGACCGAATCGCCTCAGAAGACCAGAGAGTAGACGATTTAGAAATCTCTAGTAAAGACAATACATGTTACCGACTTTGACCACCCCTCCTGATATCCTTACCGATTACACACTCAGTATACAATCAGGTATACATTTTCAAGCCGGACCTTGCCTAACTCTAAGGTACCAGAGCAAACAGCACACGATAAGCGCTCGTGCTACTGGAAAAGAAAGGAAAGGCCGAACTTTTGCGTAATCGTTTTCTTGAGCATGATGGGTCATCTGTCGTAATATAGTACTTATTAGTCATGTGCTTTCGAGAGTCGTCGTTGTTGTTGAGATAAAGAGCCTCGAGCGTTTATGGTGCGATATCTCTATTAGAAAGTTTATTTACAAACTCTCTTTAATAATAATAATAATAATAATAATAATAAAAAAAAACTCTTTATTCGTGTATGAAGGTAAATGTTGTGATGTGTTTCCCTGATGTGTACGTAGTGAAGGAACTTCTAGCTTACATGTAGAATACTCTAACCAAGCTATTTGTCTCGGATTGACATATCCGGCCTGAACCGTCTGTCATTCTATTCAGTTTCTTCATAGTAACTGCATATTCTGCGTTCTGATGTGACTGGCTGATGGAAAAAGGCTACATCGTATGTAAGCAAAGGCTGATGCTATTCTGTGGAAAATAAGTTAGCTAGGTTTAGGTTGTTCAATAAAGCTATGGTGGCTGGCAGTATTTTGAAGGTTTTTATAGGACTACGTTCCCAACTTTGAAGGCTTGAGGCGTCACGTGTTACTATGAAATGTTTAATAAATTACTAGACTCCAATCAAGCCAAAATAATATCTGTTCAGTTGATCTAATTAACTAAACGCATAACTTAACTTAAGTCTTGAGAGAGTCATCGGATCTTCAGACCGATCATTAGAACTGAGCTAAAAAATATTACGGTCGGTTTAGATGGACATTCGAAAGTGTTATTGGGCTGGAACTTTATCTTGGAATATGTGGCGTTAACATTATTGCCATCGTCATGCTTGCATCATTTTCATAGCCATTGGATTTATTGACTTAAGTTGAAATTTGGGCAAATTCGTTAGAAGACTCCACGTATTATGCCTATACTAAAGAATCATTGGTCACCTCTACTGTCACCAACTATGCTTGCCAACTATATTGATCATCGGGCACGTGGACAATACTTGGGTTGTGACAAACGGCACTCATTTAATAAAGTTTTGCTATGACATAGCACGCGGGAGCTTGTTCAATTATATTACTAGGGACGGACATTTGTTCTGTTTGGCAAAGGCACATGAATTTAAATAATTCTTTCACTGGAGTTTTGAAAAAAAAAATAGCTGAAATACAAAGAAACACACTTCAGACAATCGTTGCATCTTCATGTTTATACCAAAGACCTTCAGTTCCGACTATAATATTCGTTTGCTTGTTTTAGCCCAGTAGAGTAAACACGTCACGTGTACTCTTGAGTGAAATTAGTGAATATGTATGGGTAAGGTGTCTGAAAGAGCGAAATGACACAGAAAAATAGACAGGCCAAATTCGATTTTGCCTATCACAGCTAAGAAATTTACAAACGGCTTGAATTTATTTGGCATTCTACAAGTAGTCCTATGCGTGCGACAGTTCTATAAATGCCTGAAGGTACCGTTTATACATATGAGGATAAATGATTATATGGCTAGCAAGTGCGTGTTATTGTGTTTCTTCGTTGTAGTCCAACGCTCCGCGTCACTAACTAGTAATTATATGAGATTATCTCTTTCACTTCGCCACTTCAAATTCAAGAATATGGCTATCTTTCCTTTTTGTATATAGAGTTCTATAGATCTATATCTGCACATCACGGAATTACGTTCTACAGATCATTTGAATGTTCTCTAACTGCCCACTTTGGTGTCTTAATTAATGCAGTTTAAGGCGCTCTGAACAATAACTGGGTCAAAATACAAGTTTGATTAACATTGGGGTATCCCAATGTTAATCAAAGGTCAACGATTTTGTTGATCTTCTAGAATTAGCGATGTGAACGGTTGAACTGGTCCATCTTTAGATCTATATTCCCTCCCATACGTCTTTTTATATTTGTATCTATTCTGTTAGCCTCAGTTTAGCACTAACTGTGGGTGTACGCAGAGTGCTATTAGGATAGATCAATTAGCTCTCTCAAGCTAAAACTCGTGCATTTATCTTACTAACGTAGGTAAATCAGCCTTCTTCAAGCAGAGAGTCACACACTTTTTCACACAGACAAGTTGTACGCGCGTCAGTCTTTCATCTTGGACGATCTGCCCCTTTATGCTGCATTGTAACGCAGGCATGCGAGGAATTTTCTTGGCCCGTTGATCGTAGCTGACCGAAGTGGACCTCGCTCGATGGATTTTTGTGGACGTTGTCCACCGCCAATCTAAACGTCGTTTACTTTCACTTGTGTACTTTTATCGGTGAACGACGCTCCACGTACTTTTGTCAAAGACATGTATCTTTCAGTTACATTTATACGAAGCTAACTGTTCACGCTTCTGTCATAAGGACTAACATTGTGAAGCTTCTATCCTTAGCTAAGATGTATGACCAGTTGTGTATGGTGGCAACGGAGCAGTGCGTGCGGTTGGTACTGGATGGTTTGGCAGGCAACGCTTCGTTTCGAATGACTCATATGGTCTTGGGAGACCCAGCAGGAGAACCGCCCGGCGTTATTTGTTTGCTGCAGAAATTATGTTTACCATATAACCTCACAGACAGCTAATATTCCCGCAGTCGTGTCCGTCTTCATCAATAGATCAAACTGTACCGTTGTCATCAGCGACAACAATTGTTACGAGTCGCTAGTATTAAGTGAGTCCGTATGAGCGGGTTTATAAGTATCTTACTCCAATCAATCCCAACCGACCTCACTTCATCAGCCTGTTGGCTATCTGCTGCGATGTATCAACTGTCCTTTCTCGCATGAGCTGTTTCCCCTGGCAACAAACAAAGAGAAATCGCTTCGGTTTTCTGCCTTTTTCGCGAGTCCCCCCTTTGTCTAAGGGAACGTTCCTTAGGGACGGATTAAATTAATGGATTGAATCACTTAACATTGACGCAACGGCGACCGTCGACTGCATATATACCGTCTGCTGTTAGAAGACAGAAATACGATGTATGTTTTCACTTGCCTCAGTCTTTAGGAAGGCGACGAAGTCAACAATGAACACATGTTTGCAAAGTATCGTAGGACAACGCATTAATGTCGTGTTACTAATGGCAGTATGTGGTAAAAAGATAGAACGGTACTCCGAACCGTCACGTTGTTTTTTCAACCGAACTATTCGAAACAATCAAGTGATGCTAGTCCTTTTATTATAACCCTTATTATACTAATAGCAAATCCTCCGGCTACTAGACGTCCTATCTGATCGGCTAACAAATCGGTTAAGTAACCCACCTCTTAGCCTAAAGCTCATAGTTTTACTGCCTTAACAGCTTAGACACAACGTCGACGATTTGTACAACAAATACATCGGTTATTATATTTCTTTCTTCGTTCGTTAAGAAGACGATAGGGATGAGCTGATAATTCGTGAATAGTAAAACATTGGATGAATTTCGTTGGACATTGAGAAGGACTTGTCTTATCATATCTTGTCTAGCGTGCTCATCTTGGACTGCAGGTACTACAAGCTACTGGGAAAGTAAAGTTTTTGCTATTGTTGCCACCAGGTCCACTGTTGATGATAGCGATGCCGTCACTGGCGTTGGCTCTTGTAAATTTGGTGTCGTAAATCCTGTCAGCAGTTCTGTTAACATTGTAGAGTAAATAGATTGAGAAGGCGCGACCGGTAAAACGAACGGACAGGAAATCTGTGGTAGTTTTACCTTTTGCTCCGCCTCTGTCCCTATCAGCCAACCTCTGCCAGTCAGTGACATTTACGAGCAAGCAAGCAGTGCTTGAACGACCCAAACTTGATGACAATGAGCCGATTTAGATAATGTTTATGTAATCTCCTGCCTATATGACGCATTAATCGAAATCAAAAAAAAAAAGCAATAACATGGAGAGGACGAAGACGTAGTCGAAGAAAGAACAAAAAGGAAAAAAGGCGGGGGTAAAAGGAAGTTAAAAAAAGTGCGAATGCCTGTGATATAAAGGGCGGATTGTATAATTTACGAGAGCGACAACTCACCGCAGATCAACGACACCACCCAAACCTAAGAAGTCGATAAAATAAGAGGCGTCGTCGTTTCTCCATCTGAAATCTTACGCAAAAGCCTTGCACAAGTAATTCAGTACTGGCGTAAAGTACTGGTCCGCAATCGGATAGCTAGAGCTGAAAAGGAAAAGGAAATTTGTTGTGGATGCTCAATTTTTTTCGACTGGTTGAAACCATTTCCATTGAACTGTTCGCTCTGATCGTTATCCACCCCACCTGCCTAAGGACGGTGCCTATACTTGTACAGCTAGTCCAAGGCCCGATAAACATCCACCATAATGCACCCCGAAAGGACAGAAAGCGACCTGCCTGGATGTGACACCTGCGGGTGCCTCAGCTGCGTTGGTCTCATGCACCACTCGCTCCTTTCTGCGTACGGGTGTGGGTGATGGCGTTCATGGGATATTTTGCAATAAGAGATAGCCCGCCGATCGTTTCTTGTCAGGCTGCCCCTCCGGTCGCCAAAGGGAAACACCGCTGAGGAATGGCGTCGACATCTAAGCCACAAAGGACTCAAACCATTGTTGGTTAGAGTGTTAGTGGGAGTGAACCGACTAGGTTGTAGGGCTTAGAGAAAGGTCGCTACGACCCGGGCCAGGAACATAGGGACACTTATGGCAAATCAGGACACTGTACTTAACTCTGAGAGTGAGTAAACTATATGTTAGTTAGGGAAATACTTCTGAAGCGCCAACACCGTCACGTTGTTATACGATTCTCGCTTTCTGGTTTATATCTATTTACAGAGGAATAACTGGCTAATGTTCGAGTAAACAAGACACAGCTACTCACTATTACTAATATTACTACTATAAGGATAAAGGCAAGTTTGCCCCGTTTTCCTTCAAAGCCAAGACGAGGACTCTAGATCTATTTCGCCTAGGGCTATCCATAACGTTTCTCTTTAAGGTTAGCCGCCGAAGTACATCAGTAGAATTATTCTTATGGCTTTGGTGAATCGTAGCTATTTCATGCCTGCTTGTGAGAGCTCTTTCATTCACACACGAAATTTTGCTCATCGGCCTTTAGGGAGGTAGGCAGCTTTAAATATAAAGAGAGAGAAATAAACAAGCGCCACCTAATGAGTCCATCTAAGCTGGTGCTCTCTTCCCCATACTTTTTGTCTGGATGTCCTTGATGCTAAGGCTATAATGTGGCTGTACACAGTAGCGGAAAATGTAGCAGAAGACAAAGATGAAGGAAGAGAGCAAGTCGTGTTGTTTTTGCAGTTCAGAGCGGAAGTTGAATGTACTTCAGTATCCCGTCTTTGTCCGGCGCCCGGCACTAGTACCAGCCGAACGGAAGTGACGGCTTCGGAGCGCCACTTAGAGGGAAAAGAAGAGTTGCTTTGGAACAGTTTGGCCTGTTCTTGCATTACCTTGTTTGTTCTGATTTGGCTTGAGTTATGCTTTGTTCAGCTTCGTACTCTGTAGCCGGACTCCACACGGTACCATTTTTGTGAAATCTACGCTGTCGTCTGACAGCCCCGCTATCCGGCCCCATTACTCCATGGTCGTGCTTCTCTCTTTCCAGTTACACCGATGAATGAGAGGTATTTCTCATGTGCACACTTTCCGATTGTGAGGCAACGATGAGTCTAAGGAATCCAATGGCACAGTAGAAAGATGAGAAGTGGACCCCACTCCGCTAGTGTCGTTGTCAAAGTTCGGTCCGTCGTGTGAATTTATCAATATCTCAATGTTACGATGATCAAGGCTTAAGAAAAGCAGCGGCCATACAGTCTTCAGGCACAAATACAAGGCTCAGAAAACTCGAAGTACGGCAAGGGAGAGAGACACACGCGCAAAGCGCGACGTTCAAACAGGAAACGAAGCGATATCAAGTTTTTGCCTCGCACGGCTTCGTCGTCCAATCTAGTCGACTTCGTCATGCCTTTGTTAGCCGCTTACTGCTTTTCTGGTGCTGCTGCCTGTTAACCAGTTAGCAACCGAAAGAACGGCTGGCGTTGGTATGCTAAGCAAAACGAGGCAACTCAGGCTGCCTGTGGCTCAACCGTCTATCCATTCTAGGATGATGACGATGGTGAAAGGCCGTGGAAAGGAACAGTTACTTTTGTCAGTGACGGCAGCCCCCGACCATATGGCCTAGCAGAGGACAATTCTGCTGCTACCGTCCAGGAGGCATTAATTCATGGGCCAACACCAACTAACGTAGCCACCGGCCTGCAGCCAGTCTTCGACCCGCTTTTACTCACCTTCTCGAAACGAGGCAATATTATCCATTGTCCATCTAAGGAGCAACAGCGCATGGAACCTTACGAAAGCCTTTGTCAGGTTGGTACAGTTCGGCGGTCAACTTTTTGCCTCTTATCACCCCTGATCACTGTGTTGTCATTCGATTGAAAAACCTACAGCTGCGTTGGACGGCGTCATTGGTTACACAATCATACACTATCACGCCGCAGTTTGATGAACAGCGGGCGGTGGCGGTAACAGCCAAAAACGGCGAAAAGTCTATCAAGCACTTTACATGCGCGTGGCATTTGTGCAGTAAGTGTATATAAGTCGAGAGCTGACGGGGTTCGTGTCATATTATGATTTACATTGTACTAACTACAACATACCGTGAATTACGACAAATTCATGGATGTTTTACGATGTAGAGTATATGTATATACCAACCTGGTAAAATATGAAAGCCATTCAAACCCTTACGGTAAATAGTATGCATTGAAGAGCAGTGTCGTAATCAATTGTATAATTTCGCAAAGCCTAAATATATATATTTTATATCTACTTTTTTGCTTGACAGGTTTATTGCTCGCGCATATGTTTTGATTGTTTCGAAAGCTTCCTTCCGCTAAAGCCCAAAGCGGCGTAAGACAAACGTTGAATGCTATGTCGATATAAGCCAAGAATATAGACGCATAATAAGTATATGGCCATTAGACTGATGGTAATAGGGGCGGCATGGTCTAAGATATTTCTAGTACACAAGCAGATATCTGTCAGGTCAAGGTTGGTTTCTATGCCCGGATGTATGTTTGTATTGGTGTATATATATATATATATATAAATACATATCCTTCTACCTCGCTCTCTCTCTCTCTCTCTCTCTCTCTCCCGTTTCTGAAAAGGGATCGCTCACTCATGCATGTGCGCTGCTGGTCAATGGCTGTCTGCCGGTGAGTCTAGGGTCCTCCCCTTCTAGACATTGAGATGGACATAAATGGACTGAGCGACGTGATGCGACGACAGCCGGCTAAAAAAAGATAGGCTAAGAGTAGGTCATGTAACTAGCAAAGACAGAACAAACCGATACGGCAGAAGGACAAACATAGAGACAGATTTAGGAACATGTTTTTTTTTCTAGACGCCCCTTAGATGTCTCCAAAAATGGCACCAGGGTCTCTCTTCCGCGACGCTGCCATGTAGTACAAAACGGACGAAGACGAAAGTCTCGCAGAGCAAGGACGGTACGCCTCTTCAGCATAATATTGACGAGTTAGTAGAAGAAGACGAAGAAGAGGGAAGCACAAGAAGGAAAACAAACGAAACGAATACGTTGTGTCTGTTCACGAGGACACAACGTTTAGAGGACTTCGAAGACATGCTCCCTTT